ATGCTTCTTCCTTTAAATATATACCATTCGCTCAGCCTATTGTTGAGATGCGACCGCGAGGGCTCTGCACAGATTTATGGGGCAACTCATAAATTAACTTGCTGTCCATTGTCGGATCTTTAAATACCACTTCACAATGTGTTGTCTCATTCATTTTCTAATAATGTCTTTACTTGATCCTCATTATATTCCATTAAACCTAACATTTTATAGCTCTTTATGAATTTGATTTGACTTATTCTATTCCTATTCTCTGTACGGTACGGTTGTGCATCAAATGCACAAAAAGGTAAAAAGTAAAAAGAAACGGCATGAGGATAAATGTATTAAAGCCAAAAGTGGACATCACGATGGTACGAACTATATGGATATCATTATACATTGCAAATGAACGTTGTCAGCCTAGGGAGTTTCCTTTATAAAATTGTTTTACTAATGATACTTGCATTACCTATTTCATTGCACTTTATTGATTCACCTTAGCACTTTTACTTTCCTAAATCTGCTTTCAATCCCTTGTAAACGTTGTACTTACTTCAATATTGGTTGGTTATCGTATGCCTACAACCACGGGATGAAAACGAAACGAAGTCAGTTTTCCCGCGAAACCTGGAGGACAATTGTACAATTCAATAACCATACGGCCTGGTTCAGACTGTGAGTGTATATATATATGTATCAAATATTCAACAGTTGAAACATTGTTAACTTGTAGACAATCTATGGTTTGAGATTATATGTTTATATGAAAAATATACATTATTATTATGATAAAATAATTTATATTTCGTATAAACGGGTAAGTTTACAAGAAATGCATGCCACTTTTACAGGCATGTTCAGTTACGTCATAAATTTCAATCCTGAAGTATCATAAAATAGCACTTCCCCATACGTTTAAATTGTTCGATTATCGTACAGAAGAGGTTCATATAAGTGTTGAATTGCAAACCCCCTACTTATGTCACGATCGAGGAAGAGTACAAACCGAAGCTTCGTTCTGTTTTTTGATGATAGTCTTGATCAACCAGTAAACACCGCATACCCGGGTAAATGCTGTGCCCCCACGTGATTAAAAGCTATTTCAGGAAGGAGAAAACGATTTAGGAAGTTGCGGTATAGTATAAAATACAATTATGGATAATACATCGTTGTAATAACAATTACAAAGTATATATGCGTCAATGTCCTGGACTTAACGCTGTCCTGAGAAGACTTTCAGCAACAATGTGTAATAACCAACGCAAAAAAGCAGAACACAGATTGGTGACTCAAGAATCCTTTATTCTTGCACCAATATAGAACCAACCATAAGGTTACTGTACACATAGTCTGAGAATAAATGTCATAACAATAAATCAGAATGATACTTCTCGCAGTATTTCTCCGTCTAACGAACAGCGAACGATGGAACGATGACTGAAGTATCGACGACTCCCGCCAAAATATGGGGTTGGGTTTGAGAAAACAACCATGAACTGATCGTTCATTCTTCAACTACATTGGCAATACAACAAGGAGGTGGAGAGTCCATGGACTGACAGTATAAATTTGCAATGTATAATGCTACCCATATCGGTCTTAACATGAAAACTATGATCCTTTCGATGGAAACATAGCTTTTCTCAAAAATGAGTGTTGTTGTTGTATTTTTTCTACCATAGCAACCAGACTTTAGGCAGGCTATGAATAATACCAAAAGAGTAGCTTTTAGGTCCAGGCAGTTAAGATTAAATAGGATGCAACAGTTCGTAAATAAAAGATTATCGCGAGGTACACAAATGATACTTCAGGATGAAGTGAATTCGGAAATCTGAATGGTTAGAAACTGTGGGACAAGCTGATCTGTAAGATGTCTCAGGAATTGCTTAAGGGCTCCTGGTGTAGCATCTTGACGTGAAGCTGGGCAGGCCCATAGATGGTAGGGGCAAAGGCGTTAAAAAACGTAGAGCAGTACAACCCATATTGTTCTTTTTGTTAAGGATGAAGACTAGTGTTTTATTTTCGAGCAGTCAGAAAATGCATGCTCATGTCCTATAGATTGGACAGATTCACATTTGTGACCGCCACAATATATGCTGATCAGTAAGCGTCGCCATTTTCCACTATTACTGTTGTTATTATTATTCCTTTGGATTCCGAGTAGAATATATGGCTTCGACATATCTCCAATTCACCCTTCCCTCTTAGCTGGCCCCACGAGTGGTGACGAGCTCTTATATTACAAAAACACATTCTCCTGCATGCCACCCTAATGTGCATGACCCGCCTAATCGCTTTCGGGTTTCGCTAGAAGGCCCCGCTTGCTATGCCGTTTGACGGTCTCCTCTGTTCCTGTCTGATCCGTCTCAATTTTCTTCCATATAACTGTTGAGCAAAAGTTTCTAAGTTAGTTCGTTCCGAGGGTTTCTTGTTGTTAATCCTTTCCGGTCATCTGATCCTAAGTGTGAAGTGGAGTCAGACGTTGATGAAGGCCTACACAATATCTAATCTGCCTATTCGTGACGCACTAGGTCTTCGAGCAAAGTCGAAGCACTGGGTTGACACAGTCGTGCACATACCGTATAGAGTGGGCATCAATCCGTTCTTTTCGGACGCAGGATGAAGTTGTTGTAACGACTTGAAAACGCTGGTATACTCCACTCATCTGCAGCTTATGGCTTGCGAAACCTCACAGCAAAATAGAGGACCATTATGGCTGAAGAAATGAGGCGCATGTGAACGAACTAGGATTCAAACATGTTTCATATTTGAAAATCTGGCTAGGTACTTCACATCATCATTCACAGTTTACTTGGTTAAGTTGTGTTTGGACTGGAACATCACACATCTGGGTAGTTAGAACTCGCGTAATAGGAGCCTACAAGCACTATGGCCGCTGAACGAATGACCCTGGCGTGACTGATTTCCTACATGAATTGTGACTTGACGAACCGGATAATTCCCCTACAGCGTAAGGACATGGCAATATGTTCAGGGCTTAAAGGGCGTACAAAAACACTTACCTCTTAAACGTGCCAAAACCTATTGCCAGGATTAATTTAATTTTTAATTTTTGATTTACAGCTTGATCCCACACTGTATTTTCGATACAAGTATGGAATTTTCAGCATGGATATCGGTATCCTAAATTTTGCAGGCCGTCTATAGATATCAGGTGTGCGTCGGTGCGGGCTCGCACCCGGACCATGTGCATGGTCGGCGAGAGTCCTAACCACTGTGCCAACGATGAGTCATATTCCTGCACAGTACTGGTTCTCCCAGCGAATAACTGAATCTAGGGACCGATTCATAGGGATGGTCTCAATATCTTTAGTCTACTCTTTCGGAAAGGAAGTATATAAAAACGGACGACTTAAGGAGAGGGATCTTATGTCCGAAGCGGTCATATTGGCCAATATTTCAGTAGTTTACAAATAGCTGAATCATTCAGCTTGGTCTTTCATAGAAAACGAAATGTTACTCTGGATATTACTGCAGTTAATTACACGGGTTGTACTGGTGAATTAACATGCGAAGACCTAATATGTAAATCTCGTCGTAAAGGTTCTAGCAAAAATGATAGGAAAGTACACGAGCCGTGACAATGTGCAACCGTTTGCTCCTGATCGGTGAGCAAGAGCTCCCTGCAGACTTCATTGTGACCTCCGCAGATCCAGAGAAACTGGCCCTTGATACTGATCAGTGATCTACTATGCCTTGTAAACTTTCAAGCCCTTCTTCACGTTGAGGACTTACAGGACTCAAATAAGCCGAAGACGGTCAGCTGTCAGTGGTGTGACTTTCATTCTAAAAAAACGTAGATCAACTAAGTGAACAAACATAGTAGAAAATTTACCCTTTCTGATTATAACTTGTCCTGTACAACTTCAGGGCCTGACTTTGGTTTCATTCCAACTGAAAAGCTGAATAGAAGCGTGAATTACCCGGGTAATGTGGTGGGGGTATTCGCATCTGTGCACTTCACGCACAGACAGTCTGATGAAACCACTTCTTGAAGAGCTCAATATCACCGTCCCCTGTTTCTCTGTTGGAAAGGGTCGAAGGAAAGGTGACGAAACAGGTTATGGGTGTCTGGAAAGACCAGAAAATCTGGATTTTTTACACCTGCTTACAGTCATCTTAGGGATGGCCTCGTTTGTTTTGTTATTTCATTCCGTTTCGTTCCGGTGGGACTTAGGGCTTCATGCTAGAGGTTTGAAGTTTCAGTAGCAGTGATGTTTTATTTTTTCGGGATGGGGTGGCTAGGCTCAAGCACAGCCCTCTCTCTTTGTTGGCCTGACTACTGGCTAAGAGAGCTTTAGGAGTGCATAGACCGAGGATCCATCCTCTGACCATGTGCGTGGTTGTTGAGAGTTCTACAGTTGAAACACCAACGAACGGCTTCCTGATTACTGCCTACCAAATAAAAAATGATCAGAATCATTTGAAGGCATCATGCTATTGAGCAACCATAGGTATCTTCGTGGCAACACACAGATGAGCCCCCACCTTAGATGAAAACTCGAGTGCTTTCCTGTTTCTTTTTTCTTCGAGTGTGCCTTCTATGGAGCTCTTTACCAGACGTCGTGCGTACACTTTCTGAGAAAAGCCTCAAACAGGGGGTGGATATTCTTACAGAAAAACAGGGACTGTGTGCAGATGGACTATCACTTCGAAACTCATACACGACACCGTATTGTTGGGTACCATCTAAACTCATCCCTTGACACTGCCACCTATTCATTTACTTATTTACAATCATTATATTTGATTATCTGTGTCCATGATTTTTTCCCTTTTGCAATTGCCCCACAAACGACCACATCAGAAGATTAATGGGTGAAACGATCAACTGCAATCACAAAAGCTATACAGTCTTAACCTGCCGTCTAGTGCAAACCGCATCTAACCAATCTCCGTACCTCTCCTTAGAGCGAGTTGACCTGAGGTAGTCAGGGTGCGGACTAACTACGCAAAAGTTTACCAGAGGTCAGAAACCCCTACCCTACAACGAAGAGGCTAGCACAAAGGAATTAATTTAACATACACTCACTCACAAAGATGATATTGCATTGGACGTCGAATAGGCAAACGGCGGAGGTATGAATAAGTTTGCAGTTACTCTTAGAATGCTATTTCTAAATCCCCTTGCAATCATAGTGGGATAATTTTTTAAAATACTAGGTTAGTGTAGCCTAGTACGATTACACTTCATGGATTGGTTAACTTGGGCTGATATTAGGAAGTTAAATTAAGATTTCTAAATATAAAACATTAGAGAGAATTCTAAATTTTCGACCTACTTCTGCATAACTCTAGCAGTGTTATTCCACTTTTGCTTCGAACAGATTTCTTTATGCCTTTCATAATTGTTTTTCAATATCCTCTAACTTAGGCGTAATATTAGTGGCATAATTGAAATTCCAGTTATAACTGAAAACAGGCTTCCGCGTGGAAACCCCAAAATAGCTTATCGGAGGGCAAGAACCCGGGTGCGCTCCCACTTCTTTTCAATGCTGGTTTGCCGTCCCTGAAACTCTTTGCCGGAATATGTCGCGCGGTGGCTGCACGTAGTTTCAGGTCCTTATGGGCGATTCGCAGAGCCTTTACAAGAATTACCAGAGATATGTTCACCTCCTTATACACATCTCTGGTTAGGTCAAGACTGGAAAACTGCATCCAGGCCGCCAGTCCGTGTCTAAAAGGGGATTCACACATTCTAGAAAGTGTTCAAAGGAAGGCAACACGTATGGTTCACGGCATACTAACTTATCATATGAGGAAAGACTAGATAGTTTAAATCTCTTCTCACTGTCATACCGTAGGCAGAGAGGAGATTTAATCACAATGTTTAAAATTTTAAATAATGACTTCGGACCTGACCTATTCTCTCTTTTCCTTCCCACCAGGCCGGAACACCTTAGAGGACATAACAGGAGAGTTCAAAAGCCAAGGAGAAATCATATTGCTGTTGAGTACTGGTTCTCACATCGAGTCATAAACTCTTGGAACCGACCCCCAGAAGAAGTGGTGTCTGCAACCTCAACTGATTCGTTCAAGAAGGGTTTGGACAACCACAGAAATCTACTAGAAAAGGATTAACATAGGCTGCAAGCCTTCTATCCTCAACCAATAAATCTGAAATCTATGGCACCGTCTGCGGACGCCTTTAAGCGAACTCTGGACAGTCATGCAGCGACACAAGGACTACGTCCAAATGGCCTATCCCCTTAAAATCCTACACAAAATTCGGGGTAGAGAGCTAAATTCGTCGTTTTACTCATTTACATTCTCTCCCGTCTTACACTCCTGACAATTGTCAGAATAATCCGGACTACTACACGTACACATTATTATTATTACCGATATTATATACATATGTGTATATATTTATGTATGTATGTGCGTATATCAACTTAGAGTTTAATCAGCTGTCTGTTTTTACGTTTTTTATTTCTTTTTCTGTCTTTTATTCCGAATAACCTACCCTAATTATATCTATTATTATTAATTACTATTATTATCTGTCTTTTGACAACGATACCGGAGGGCTAACTGGTGAAGGGATCAACTCCATTCACAATAGTAACTAAGTCTTAACACACCGCATACTACAAAAGACGTCATTAATCCCAAATTGGCTTGTACTAGCTCGTGTAAACGATATTGGATTGGATATATGACAGGCATGTAAATTTCTGTGTGCCAGATTACTCTAGCTATGATTTTCACTTTCCCAGGTTTCATTACCAAAAATGTACCGACCAAATGTGAGCGTTTAGATGATGTGGGTTGGGCCATTTTAGATACAAATTCCAGTCTTTGTATTAATCAGTGCATAAATCTTGTCTGTTGCCTACCTGTATAATTGCAATGTCAAGTATTTCGTATAATATCTCTTGCATCTTAATAATCAGTCAACAAGTTTGCAAGGAATTTGAGGCCATATTGGGAAAGCCGAATTTCAGCCGGTGCCACCAGCTTACTCAGTACGCGTCCGGTATAGTGCAGGAAGTGTTGACTGGATAGCGTTTTTGGTAAGAAGCACTTTCTGGCAATATGAATGTTATTGACTAGCTTTTCTATCATATATTCGCAAGTAACTGTTTACGGAAAATATGTTTGAATTCTAGCATTACTTCTACTGAAACAGTCGCGTCACACATTTTGTTAAGCTTTCAAATACCTCACCCGTTGCAAAAAATTAAAGAATGCCCTAGAAAACTTACCCAAAGTGATGCGCAATTATGTAAAATAATTGCCATCCAGTAAATCTTTTTCTTAATCTACTCTGTCTAAATGACCTGTTTTTCAGTAGAGTAACTTGGTGTCATCTGGTTGGTAAGTGAATCGAAATTCAAATATTTAGTGACAAGTTGTAAGCATAAATTGGTGATGAGCAAGGTTTAAGGTTTTTTGTTTTTCTTAAGTAATTGAATGACTGTTTTTACTTTAGTATTCATCTACCGTAATCATTTCTCAAAAACCACTTCTTTTTATTCCTTTGCGTTCCCATTGTAACATAAGGTTTCAAGCTAATGGCTTGAAGTTTCTGTAGCAGCGTTTATTTTTACAGGATGGGGTTGCTAACCTCATGCCCAACCCTCCTTCTTTACCAGCTTTATTTCTGGATTAGCGAGGTAAAATGAGGTATCGAACCCCGGACCCTGTGCATGTTCGGCGAGCATCCTATCCGCTGTGCCACCGACGCACAAAATCATTTTAATGAATTCTTATTAAAGGCAGTTCGGACAGTGGTTACAACTGACCACAAATAATTACCTAGAACGGCGAGTTTTAGTTCCTTCAGTGTCCTTTATGCATGGTGAATGAATATCACACATTTCTTTACTTGTGACTTTTACAGTGAGATCAAATTGTCAAGCAGAATGACTCAATACAAGTGTCTTTCTGTCCCTAAGAAAGTAAGGTCATGTGGGAAGGCACTGGCAAAGTTGTAGAACATTCTAACCTTTGAACTACATACGAATTCATGGTGTGGAATCACTTGAAGTGTCGATGAACAGTGGTGTCTGTCACAGATGTCGAATGACATCACCCTTATTTTTGTTAGGCGTACTTATCGATGGCATTTTGTCTGGTTCCTACTATTCAGCTTGATAGCTTAAAGCATTCGGTCTTCTATATTTGGACTTGGGCAATATAGTGTATCTTCTTAAAAGTCCGTGTATGTCTGGCGTGGTGCTCTATTATTTCAAATGTAAAATGATATTACAAGACTATTATGCACGAACTCCTAGTTTAAGCTTATGCAATTAAATGGTTGAATGTATTGACCACTTATTTGAGAGGTTACCAGATAGTGTTTTGATTGACGAAATCTCAGCACATAAACGAAAAGGCAGTTTGACATATGGCACCTTGCATCACCTCTAACGCAAACGTGTTATTCGGCTGTTTTTTTCCCATGGACAGTAAGACGAATTTTGAGATACACGGGGGAAAATAAGCCTTATCTTGATTCTCTTCTTATTCCAACTGTTACTATTAAATTGGCTTTCTTTTCCAAATAATTTCACATTTTTGTCACTTTGGTTTGCATAAAATACTTCTTCGAACATTGTCGTATGTTTTTGCGTGTGTTTGAGTGAACTGAAAAAAAAGACTTGTCACCGACTACCTCTGTATGTTGTGAATAACTCTTTAGACAGGATTTTATTAGACCAAATATTTCAGTTATGCTTGACAGTCATTATTACGTATCTAGAGTGGAAGACATGAAAAGACTAGCTGTCTTTGATCATAGGTGCCTGCGCTCTATTTCCCGTGTGAAGTGGCATAATAAGGTGAGCAACATTGAGGTTAGGCGTAGAGTTCTAGGTAAGCAGGGGAAATCAATCGACGAAGTCGTGAAGTTACAAAGACTGAGATGGTTAGGACATGTGTTACGTATGCCAAGCCATCGCCTCCCTCGACGAGCAATGTTAGCGGATATAGGGTCAGGCTGGAAAGAAGCTAGCGGCGGTCAAACAAAAACTTGGCACCAGTCAATGAAATCCACAACAGTTGGTCTAAGCCACGTAGGAAGGTGTAGACTTCCTGACTGGTTGGGGTCCTCGGGACGGTAGAAATCTATGGTTGGAAACAATTGGTGACATGGCTCAAAACGTTCTCAGTGGCGCAGATGCATCCACTCCTTGTGACTTATGATCTCCAATGAAACTGTTTTGTTCTTCGTTATTACTCCTTTGTCTCACACCTCTGCTCACTGTTTCTATTATGCTTTTCTTGTACTTTCTTCTCTTGCTTTGTGTGCTACAAGGAGGAAGTGTGGCGACTTGAACTGGCTCACATATGTGCAAAGTTCTATGTCGAAAACAGACAGATTACGTATCTAGCGCCTGTTTGAAAGTGACTTAGTGGTCTATAATACTTCCATGTAAAGACTTGTATAGAAGATATTCCCCTGTAGGTAGCCCCATGGTTATTATTCGAATAGGAATATTCAGGAAGTTTTGCGCTCATTTCACTTTTTACTGTTAAAATGTGCTAGAAACATAGTTGTGTTTTGTCATTTCCACGTGTCTTTGGTTTTATAATAGATATTTTAGTGATCTAGCAGTTCAGTGTAGCTCAAAAGAGAAAGACAAAACCTGTGAAATTGAAGACAAATGTAAACAGTTTTCACATTCGAAAACGTGGATGGCAGCGTTATGCGGTTTATTTTTACCAGGATTGCCTGATGATACACTGAATCCTTGTTAATGAGGTATAAAAGTTGATGACATGCATCAAGTAACAACGACTAAGGTTGAAATAATTAATTTATGCAACTAAAATATAAACTATGGCATAAACGGATACGATTGTCAAAAATTCGATATTTTTCAAGGAGACCCTTAAAAGCAATCACATTTTCCAAAGTCCTGTGTCATGATTTTCGTTTCTACTGGATATTGTAGAATTCCTCCTCATTATTACAATCGTCTTCTAGAAGTTTCCGTGCTTTTAACAAATTGGAGGAGTGATCACATGCCACACTTCAGTCATTTTAATAGGTGTTGAACTGTTAAAAATAGGATAACTAGGAGTGCATGCACCTGATCTAGGAGATACGTAATTGGTATTTTCTCTGATACGGGCTAAATTGTGTTATATTGAACGTAAATATCCTAAATTAAATGTTTAAAAGTTTCTGTGTTTGCTTATTCAGTGGACATAATTGAATAACCACTGAGTTATATATCGTTTGACTAACACAATGGCAAAACAAGTTGGTATCTTATCAACTTCAAGTCACGAGTGATACATGAGTGATCAAAGTCGCCAATTCCAATTTTAATCTACATTTTATGCACAATAGAATTGTTTGCTGTAGGTGAAAACGTTTTCAGATGCTTCAAACCTATTCATGTCCCATATAATTAATGCGTTTCAACAAAGGTGGACTGCAGTAGACTGAATAATGCTTAGGACAGGGAGCAACGATGAGACGGGAATAAAATAAACCCACACAAAAAAATAACTTGGAGGATCTGGACTTCGCTGATGAAATATGTCTGATTTCCCATAGACTGGAAGATATGCAAGTAAAAAGCAACAAGCTGGCAGAAGAAGCATCAAAGATAGGACTTCCTTCAGGTGAACATAGAGAAGATAGAGGTGGTGAAGATTTCTGGTCAACAGCAACAGCAACCACAACAACAAACAACAATCAGCATAATTACGAGACATCTGAAAGAAGCAACCTCCTTTACCTACCCACATACCTGAGAAACATCCTTTCAACTACAGGCGGACGGAACTGATGAGGATATAAAAGCGAGGATTGGGAAAGCAAGGCGAGCTTTCATTACTCTCAAGTCTCTGTAGAGGTCAACAGCACTACTCAGCATGAATATAATAAGATCCGGATTTTCAACTCCAATGTGAAGTCAGTGCTACTTGTCACACGGATCAGAGTCTTGCACTGCGCGTCACGAAAGGCACTTTGAACAAACTACAGACCTTCATCAACAGCTGTCTTCGCTCAGCCAGAAAAGGTCAACAACGGGGTGGGATCTCTTGGAGCGAACCAACTCAGCAGGGACCAGTTGCACAAAACGTGTAAGAATACATGGAGGTGTATTGGTGATACTGTGAGAAGACCAACCATCATGTGAGTGACATCACACACCAGGCCATCAGTCAAGTGCAACCCAAGTGGTAAGCGGGAGTTGGTCGTCAGTGTGAGGTTGATATGGAAGAAGTGATGCGAAGGAGGGATGAAAGCGTGTGGACAAATGTAGAGCCAAGGTGAAAAGGTTGGCAGAGAATCAACCAAACGTAATAAAGAAGTGCAGCTGAAACCCTATGTTCCTCCAGGAGCTAAAGGAAACAATAATAATAATACCAAAAGTAATACGGCCGAACGTGTTTAATTCCTGAAATCATTACAAATTATTATCTAACTAAGGTTGTCAGTTTACGGAGTAAGGTATTTTTTTTAGTAAATTGTCTACACAAACAGGAAAACTTCTGTACCTACACTTTATACTTTATGACAATAAGAAATTAGTACTGTGCTTACTGTGTGATCCTATGTCAGCAATGTTAGCTGACATAGGGTCAGACTAGAAAAAAGCTAGCGGCGATCAAATCAAAACATGGCCTCATCAGTCAATGAAATCCACAACAGTTAGTTGTGAAGCCAGACATGTAGGAAGGTGTAGACTTCTTGACTGGGGTCATCGGGACTGTAAAAACCAATGGTTGGAAACAATCGGTGATATGGCTCAAAATCGTTCTCAATAGCCGGCGAAGATGTATCTACTCCTTGTGACTTATAATATCCAATAAAACTATATTGTTTTTCTTTATTACTGTTCCTTTGTCTCATATCCCTGTTTACTGTCACTATTTTGCATTTCTTCTAGTTTCTTCTCTTGGTTTGTGTGCTACTTGAAGTAGTGCACATCGGTGCAAAGTTCTACGTCGAAAACAGACAGACAGACAGACTGTGCTTATTCAAGTTTTTCGATTAGTATCATGAAAGTTTTCATTGCCAAAAGGAGAATAAGTCTTTGTTGTTAATCTCATGCGAACTTTTGTTCTAGTCAGTTTGTGATTAACATCGAGTTATTGCTCACATATTCTTCTTTTGTAGGTGGTATCGTGGAAACGATAAGCAGTGTAGTGGTGGTGATACACATCTGCATACACTGGGTGGATCTATTCACTAAGCTTACAAGTAACGAGCTTATCATACGGTAACTGTGTACATTGTTTATTTATACAGTTAGAATTACTAATTAAAAAGTCTTCAAAATAGAAAAGTAAAACACAAGTCACTGTGAAGCCTTGCTTGTCAATAAACATCTCAAATCTATGAAGAAAGGGTCTAGCGTATCGAAAACAATTGAGGAAGGTAAATATATCTGCCTATTTAGATTAATGCATACACTCTAAGCAAAAGTTATGCTTGGCAAAGATTCAACTCTTATCAATGTTGATTCTGGGAGGACATTACGACCTAGCACAAAGCAAGCAACAAAGACATCGGCTAGCAAACGTAAACCTACCGCATCACGTGTTTTGTCGAAAAAAATGAAGAAAGTCGCTACTGGGTCATCGACTGGCAGTGTTGCTCATGCCACTTCATAATAATTTATTTGGAAGAATATAATCAATAATATATACATATATATACTTTATTTACCCCTAATGATCCTTCAAACGTATCATTTATAAATATAATTTCTCTGCGTATATACAATATCTTTTCAAGGCAGCAGTATGTAGCAGTCATTCACATTGATATGAACAGTATTCATCATAATGTTATCACCTTAATTTATCTCTTTCTTATCTTAATATTCATCTCCACATAATATCAATAATGCAATAAATAGATTTTTATTCGTTAAGTTAAAAGTTGAGGTGAATTTTTCGTGTAATTATAGTAAAAGTATTTGCACCGCGTGTTATCTTTGCGATTCGGATTGTCTAAGTGTCTAGAAACGAATGAAAAAATCCACCAGTTCATGAAGTTCCGCATTTTTTTTCAAGCGTAACATATTCCGTTCTCGTGATATTCAACGCAGGGGTTGTATGCTTAAGCTGCAGATCAACTTTTGAAGTACACTACGGGTCATCATGCCTTCTTCATTTGAGATCAAGGTGTCCTTCCCTAGGCAACTATTCACCAAGGCGTATTGCATTGGTTATTGGGTGATTTTTATTGACACATAAGAATCCACAAGCTACTTACTCATTTCTAAGTCAGTTTGTTAAAACACCACCACTGCACATCCTTGATCCATCAAAGTTATCTTCAGAAAAATATTAGGCAACTAAACAGGTTTTCAAGTATTGGTTTGTAGGGATTTGACAGATGAGCTGACATTGGTTGGAGAACCATTGGAAAACCAGCCGGGGGTACTGGACAGCTGTTTCGTCCTGGTTTGGGACTCTTCAGCCCATGAGGAAATCCTGTAACCAGTCATCCTAATCCCCACAAACCAATACTTGAATATCAATGAGATGCTCACTGGCAACTGGCTCTATTCAGGTAGATAGTTACCTGGGATTCTAGTAAGAAGTCGTGACCAGTAGGGTGCAGCAGGTTGAAGATGAGGCAGTAACTCATCGAAGAAGACACTGGATAGTGGTTGCGCTATATCGTGAATTGTCAGAAGTTAGAATTCATGGGCTATTGAATTGGGTCCTAGTGGCTCAGTGGTCTACTAGCTCGCAAGCCTTGTAACCAGAAGGTCCTAGGTCCGAACCCCGATGATGGGTGCGTACTAATGAAGAGTCTCAAACTAGGACAATGGAAACAGCTGCCCAGTACTCCCAAGTTTTCCAATGGTTTTCTAACCAACGTCAGCTCATGATGAAATCCTGTAAACAGGTTTTGTTACATTTTGTTTTATGCTTTTTGACCAACTTCCGAATATCTTGGCATTTCAAGTCTCCAATAAATCTCCACAACGCTGTGTCATTTGCTTTCTCTGATATCAAATCTTTCTCTTTGCTCGTTGACATTTTTATGCCGATGAACCTCTCTTATGTATATACTGCTGGTAAATCTTATCAATAGCAACATGCCCCAGTACTTAGAACCCAGACCAAAGGAAATTGAGAATGTGATAAATATTTAAGAATGGAACCTGAAACAGTGTGTAAAATAAAGTTGTAAGAAAACAACAAATTATCAAGGTAATATAATTAATTTAGAACACAAGATCACCATCCATGAGCTCGAATCCGATTTAATTGACTGACTGCCGCTGTTTCTGTAGAGTGAGATACATTATTATTACTTTAATATGTGTAAAACTTGTACAGTAATGTTACTGTACAACAGTGTGATTTATCAAAATAAAATCTTATCCATAATGCAGCATGTGCTTACATAATGAAATTGCTTATCACATTAGTGTTGATTTTTCCATTTCATAGGGGAGCGATGGGGTGTTGTAACCAGGTCAAGTTCTGTTTTAGTCCATTATCCCTATTCAGACAATTGTCATTCCATTTGATATGAAGTGCCGCTGATGACGTGAGACGTTCTTTGTGATTTCTGAAATACTTTTTCTGGATTATTTCAATGTTGTCAAAATCAATTTCGTGACCTGACTCTATAGCGTAGCGTCTAAAAGACCTTTGAATGATGATGATAATAATAATAATACCATCAAATCAATGTGCACCGTGATGGCGAGCTAGCTAGAATGGTGTTCACATTACAACCTGACAGATAGAATTCAGTCTACACCAATCAGAGGACTAGACGCATCACACTAGTTACTAATTTCAAATCAAAATATCCAGTACAGTCCTACAGAGGTCAATCGCGAGCCCGAGTAGCTCAGTGGCAACGTCTCTGACTGCAGCACTGGATGACGCGGGTTTGAATCTCAGAAGGGACATGAGTTCCTTCAAGGCTGCATATACGCCTTGCTGATGAGTGCCAACTAGCACGAAACCTCGGTCCAAGGCTTCCTGTGGCCGATTGCCTCCAACCGTCTAATACCATCAAATAATTTGCTTTATCGCAAATCAGTACTTGTGATACAGAATGGAATTATCAACATTTTACTACAGTATTGCATCCAGTTAGTACATTAACAATAATAAAATTCTGCAGAGATTAAAGGTAATCTCAGTTCGTTTTGACAACAACATATCGGCACATCGGTAGCAAAGCCAAAAGTGAACAGACTGTTTGCAGGTGTTAGAAAAGTAGATGGTAGCATATTTACTGGCGTAAGCGGTAACAAAATGGTCGAGATATACAGAGTGTGAGAGAACGAAGAAGAATGTTTTAGTTGAGTTTGTAAGTAAGAGAGAAACAAAACAGCACATAACAGAAAAAAGAGGAGAGGAAAAGAAAAAAAGAAAACGTTGTACCTATAAATGATATGAGTTGGAAAGACGAGATTCAGTTGTTCTACTGACTATTTAATAAGTTATAGGTATCACGCCTAATGCTTTCTTTATCTCACAGAACACGAGCTAAGTAGGATATGGTTGAGTTTTTGTACTTACTAGTGCGAGCATATAGTTTTCTATATAGTTTCTCTTCTCTGTTCTATTTTCGACATAGAACTTTGCATATATGTGCGCCAGTTCAAGTCGCCACACTCCCTCCTTGTAGCACACAAAGCAAGAGAAGAAAGTAGAAGAAATGCATAATAGAGACAGTAAACAGAGGTGTGAGACAAAGGAGTAATAACGAAGAACAAAACAGTTTCATTGGAAATCATAAGTCAAAGGAGTGGATGCATCGGCGCCACTGAGAACGATTTTGAGCCATGTCACCAATTGTTTCCAGCCATAGATTTTTACCGTCCCGAGGACCCCAACCAGTCAGGAAGTCTACACCTTCCTACGTGGCTTAGACTAACTGTTGTAGATTTCATTGACTGGTGCAATGTTTTGGTTTGACCGCACTGATATAGGCTTCTGGTTCTACCTGATGAGATACAACGGGAGAGTTGTGAATGAAGAGGGTGGTGTGAGTTAGATAAAATGATGATTTTTCAAGCTTTTCTAGTTCAAGTGGATTTCTCGGTGGTCGAATACATATGGCTTCACGGTGTTCCTTTCTTCTGATTTTGATTTCTCTCTAGCGGTGTGTGTCCGATGTATATGTCATCACATAATTAGGTAGACAATCTTCAGGGATTTTGTCTTTCATATGGACAAATTTGCTTTCCTGTGTGTCTGACGTCTGATGAAAAAACTTTGATGTCGAGCTTATTGAGTACTCTTTTGATATCGTCTGATGTCTCCGCTCTGTGTGGAATGACAACTATTTAGGTCGATGTTTTTGGAATACGTTTTCGACCACACTTAATGTCACTGATGATTTTGTTGATAAAGTTCTTTGGGTAGTGGTTTTGCTTGAGATTTTCGGTAGTGTTTGATATTTCTTCTTCTTTTTCTTTATCAGCCGTTATCAGAGAGTATGCTCATCTAAGAAGACTTAAAACAACTGATAGCTTTGTGCAGATGGGTTGTGATGATCTGAAGTTATTATTGATATTAGATGGCTGGAAGCAGTCTATGTTTCGTGCTTATTGGCACCCTTCAGCTGGACAGGTGTACCTTCAATCTTGAAGGAACTCATGTCCCTTCTGAGATTCTTACCCGTGTCATCCGGTGCTGCAGTCAAACAGGTTTTTTGGTGTTCGGGTTCACATTTAACTTCATGTTGGACTACTTAACTAATGTCCAATCAAAAGTATCCATTACAGTTAGTCCTACAGGAGGTCATTCGTAAGACCGAACAGCTCAGTGGTAAGATGTCTGACTACAGCACTGGGTGACTCTGGTTCCAATTTCTAAGGTTACAGATATGCCTTGCTAGCACCAAACCTTGGTGCCGATTGCCTCCGACCAACTCATATCAACAATTGAAAGTGCACCGAGATGTCAAGCCATCTAACATGGTGGCCACATCACAAATAATAATAATAATAACATTAATAACAGAGTCATGAGAGATTGTTCTCAGCATAGATTCATGTTCCTCTGTCTATTATGAAGAAAAACGCTATGCAGTTAAGTGGCCATTATATTATATATGTTTTTTAATTATTCGCAAAAGGAGTAAAGTGAATGTTTTTCCATCAGGTATCAGGCAGTTGATGAATTTACACTTCACAACACTGGTTATCGTGTTTACACTTTGAAATAATAATGTTATGGGAGTTATTGATTTAATCTTATCATTATCTCTTTTTAATATACACATCAACTTCGACGTATTTGACGTTCAGACCAATATGTTTTTATACGCTGTTTTTCACCAGTAAATCTTGGCATCTTCCATAGTTTTTTGTACGGTGCTAAATCCTCGTGTTTTGACATTGTATTCCATTCAATTGGTACTATATTTAAAATGGACGCAGTTGAGTCCAGCGGTTGAGGGATATCGTTTTGTGATCTTGCCAACTGAGTCATACGATCTTTGTTGCGTCTATAGTATTAAAATAATAGAAAATTCTTATTTAGAAAACACCAAATTAAGGGAAGAAACATATCCCATTTCAATGTATATATTTATCAATAACAGGTGAGAACAATACGCCAAAAGTACCAAGACAATTAATGGGTGTGTGTGTGTGTTAAGAAGACTATGTGCTCTGACAGTGTTTTAAACAAGAGAAAAGCAGGCAACACTACGTGACATCACGGAAGAATCAGGCGTGACAATTCTACGACAATGTGGCCACTGAAGCTGAGAAGGCAGCAGGCAAAAGGGACCTGAGGACACTATATCAGATAACCAAGTCTCTATCCGGGAAGAGATCAACACAAGCGAAACCTTTAAAAGACAGCCAAGGGAACCCAATTACCAAGGAAGAAAGACAGACTGAACAATGGGCGGATCACTTCAAAGGACTCTTGAACCGACCATCAACTGCAACCCGTCCAGAAATACCAACAACAGCATTTACACAACTACAAGTTGACATACCTCCTTAAGCACTGAAAGCGGACCCAGAGACTACAGCAGACATGCTGACTCCATTATTGTAAAAGGTCTGTAAGGAGAGAAAGGTGCCTACTGACTGGAGGAAAGGTTACCTCGTGAAACTACCAAAGAAGGGTGACTTTGGACTCTGCAAGAACTGGCGAGGAATCATGCTCCTATCGACGCCAAGAAATATCCTGAGTCGCATCATCCTGGAGAGAATTAAGGACCTACTGGATACAGAACTCCGACCAGAACAAGCTGGCTGCATTCAGGAAAGGCAAATCATGTACTGACCAAATTGCAACTCTACGCATCATTATCACAGAACAGCATGGAATGGCAATCAAACCTCTACCTCAACCTTACAGACTTTGAGGAGGCCTTCGACAGACAGTGTTGATGGCGAAGTGATTTGGAAACTACTCGAGTACTACGGCGTGCAGCACCCAAATATTCATCAACCTTACTCAACGGCTGTACGACAACGGCACATGTCAAGTGATCCACAACGGAAAACTCAGCTGAGGCGTTTGGAGTAAACACAGGAGTCAGACAAGGGTGCTTATTGTCAACCACCAATGATATTCCTAATGGTGGTCGACTAGATTATGCGTCAGACAGTGGGAAACGAGAAGACAGGAATATCCTGCACCGACCGACGCGAAGAACCTAGAAGACCTGGATTTCGCGCGTGGATGATTTATGTTTGATATCACACACACAAAATCGAAGACTTACAAGCGAAAACCGACCGACAAACTGATCGCAGAATCAGCCAACGAAGACAGGATTCCAGGTGAACATAGACAAGACGGAGGTTATGAAAATAATCAACAAGAGCAGTAGGTCATCGGAATACTCTAGGTCAACGTGACTTCATCTTGGTAACAAATCAGTTGGGAGACATTGATTTCAGCCAGCCTTATACACACTAGAATATCTGAAGTCGAAATGATGACACTGGGCATGTCCAACAGACACCACTTAAGCTGACAATATCCTCTGCGATTTCACTAGTCCGTGTGACTTCGAGTATAGTGTGCTTTGTTTATCATGACCTATTTTCTCAGTTCACCCTCCACACCCAAACAATGGCAACGCATCACTATGTCGGTGGAGTTAAATAACCTCCTGAGGGTTAAGAAATTTAGCGAGTGATAAGCACCAGTGAGTATGCATATTTCTCTCAGAACCTGCTGACGAAAACTTTGTCCATAGGAAATGTATTTGAAAGCTTAATTAGACTTAAACAACTTGCACAGAAAAGTGTCTCTTCATAGATACAGGAAGCTCGAATGACTTCAGGTAATGCTCATGGTATATTGTACTGATAGTTGTAAAACGTAGCTATTAAAATATGGGCGACACACATGAGATTACGCAGGCTCAATTCTCAAGATTCCTATAAAACACTTTCTTCTCAACAATAAAGTAATTGGATGCGTTTCATTGGATTTAATTGTATACTTCCAAAGAAATACGGTCTGTCGATAAATAATTCTTTGAATATGTATCGGCGATACCATACAATACCATAAAATCAACTAACTGCTCAGCAGTCCACTCCATCCTGCTTTATGGCTGGCTGTGAGATGTGGTCATTGCAAGTTTAAGATATGAAAAGCCCAGCTAGCCGTCTATGATCATGGGTGCCTGTGCTCTATCTCGCGTGTGATGTGGTATAATAAGGTGAGCAATATTGAGATTAGGCCTCGGTCGAGTGTCAGGTAAGAAGGGGAAATCAATCGACGAGGCTGTGAAGTTACACCGATTGAGATGGTTAGGACATGTACTAAGTATGCCTAGCCATTGCCTTCCTCGACTACGGGCAATGTTAGCTAACATAGGATGAATTAGGTTGGAAAAGAGCCACTTGTGGTGGTCAAACGGAAACATGGCTTTATTGGTCAGTGAAGAAATCCACAACAGTTGCTTTAAGCCAGCGACGTAGAGATGTGTAGACTTCTTGACTGGGGTCGTTGGGGTGGTAAAAACCAATAGAGGCTATGGACAATTGGTGATATGGTTCAAAGTGATCGTTCCAATGGCTGGCGCCGATGCATCCACTCCTTGTGACTTATAATATCCAATAAAACTATATTGTTCTTCTTTATTACTGTTCCTTTATCTCATATCCCTGTTAACTGTCTCTGTTTTGCGTCGGTGGTACAGTGGTTAGGACTCTCGCCGGCCATGCACATGGTCCGGGGTTCGAGCCCACGCCGGCGCACACCTGATATCTATGGTCGGCCTGCAAAATTTGGGCTACCGATATCCTTGCTGAAAATTCCATACTTGTACCAAAAATACAGTGTGGAATCAAGCTGTAAATCAAAAATAAAAAAATTTCTTTTTACTTTCTTCTCTTCCTTTGTGTGTTAAATGAAGTGTGGCGACTCGAACTGCTGCACATAGGTGCTGCAAAGTTCCATGTTGAAACTAGCCGAAGGAGCAGCCGACGAAGACACGACTCCAGGTGAACATAGACAAGACGGAGGTTATGAAAATAACCAACCAACCAACCAACAACGACATATAACGCCAATCACCATCAACAGGAGGGATTTGAAAGAGGTTACTTGATTCACTCACTTATTTAGGGGGCATTGTCTCAACTACAGGAGGAGCGGACGAGGATGTGAAATCGAGAATCGGGAAGGCGAGAAACACATTCATCAACCTGAAATCAATCTGGAAATCTTCGTCACTCAGCCAGCATCAACAACAAAATTCAGTCGGATTTTCAATCCAAACGTCAAGTCAGTCAGTTCTTCTATACGGATCAGAAACTTGGCGGATGGGTCACAAAGAATATTTCCAAAAGGTTGCAGACCTTTATTAACAACTGTCTTCCCTGGCTCTATACTGAAGATCAGATGGCCGGAGAGAATCATCAACAAGGAATTATGGGAACAAACAAAGCAAGAACCAATCGCCCAACAAATATGCAGGAGAAAGTGGAGATGGATCGGACACTCGCTGAGGAGATCGCTGGGTGACATCGCGCGTCAAGCCCTCGAGTGGAACCCGAAAGGGGAGCGGCGTGTAGGACGTCCAAGGGTGACATGGAGGAGATCGTGTGAAGAGGAGTTGAAAGAGTATGGACTAACATGGATGCAGGCGTAAAGTACAGCAGAAGACAGAAGAGAATGGAGACGTGCAGTTGAAGCCCTATGTCCCACTACGAACCCAAGGGAGCAATAATGATAATAATCATCTAGATTTTGCTAGATTTTTATTTTCGGCTAGTCTGACTAACTGACGCCGTTCTACTACTTTGACCTGACAAGCATTCCAGCGAGGTATTAGATAAACTGAATTATTTTGTTTTAAAAGCTCCAAATGATTGATCCTTTAACCGACAAAGCTTGTTTCTAATTCAGATTGTGTGTTTGAATGCCAGCATTATTAACAATTCTGTGTCAGGTTTCCAGCACCAACAATAAGGAATCTAAATCATCAGTAGTAATTCCATACGAGGAAAGAACCTCGGAAACGACCTTATGCAGAATTCTTAACAAGGCTGGAATAAAAGTGGCTGGCACTCAAACCCACAATCTGAATTAGAAACAAGCTTTGTCGGTTAAAGGATCAATCATTTGGAGCTTTTAAAACAAAATAATTCAGTTTATCTAATACCTCGCTGGAATGCTTGTCAGGTCAAAGTAGTAGAACGGCGTCAGTTAGTCAGACTAGCCGAGCATAAAAATCTAGCAAAATCTAGATTAGTTAACCCGAATAAGATAAGAAATCTGGAGAATAGTTCAGCCATACCACTCACTACATACAGTCACACACTACCATACAATAGGATGGTTGGGATAAGATGACAGTTTCAAAATCTAATGCCACATGATGGAGGGAGAGATTGATGACAGAAGCTTTGTTTATTGAATCAACTGAGAGAGAATACGTGTAATAGGAATGATTCAACACCTGTCCATCCGGATATCTGGAAGATTCCACCACCCCAACGACGACAAAGAGGAGAGGACAAAGAAAACTACAAAACTCAAGTTTCGAAGTCGTGTGATTATAATTGATGAAATGATTATGAACCACAATAAATTTTGTTCGAAACTTTGTCATCCAGTAAATAATAATACTGTTTCACTCACTGTGTGACACATCTGATAAACAAACCAATCTGGAATTACTTACTACCACAGTGCTCAAGTTTTACACATATAAATTAATGTGCACTCCATACTGTTGTAATTGTTTCCAATTTACTTCGTAGTTAACTCTGTCGAAGGCGTTTTCAGGGTCGGTGAAGTTGAAGTAGTATTAACATGGATAACATTAAAGTCGATTGTAAATATATATAGTCTGCTTTTTATGCTGACACGGGACAAAGCCAACTACTTTCTCTTTGCGCCTTATTTACGACTTCTCGTATGCGTGTATCTGCATCCTAGTCAGTATAAGTGTTTGCAAAATTCTACTGTACGTTTCTCCCAACAGTGAATGACTCCCTCTACTTGGTATGAGGAAAACGAGTACTCTAATATAGAAGAAAGTCTCTTTTATTACAGAAAACGTATGGGTGATTATTGATCGTCTTCAATCTGCGTGAATGGCGGAATGTACTTGTATTTATCAGTTTATGATTGGCCTTCATGGAAATAATGTAACAACTTTACTTATCTAACCTTCACTCTATAGGTACACTCAGAAGACCATATTGGTGTAGATTTTTAAATCTCTAGGTGATTAACTAGCTATTTTAGCCTAAGCATAAGTTCACATTCAAGTATTGGTTTGTAGAGATTTGATTGATTGGTTATAGGATTTCATCATGAGCTGACATTGGTTAGAGAACCATTGGAAAACCAACCAGGGGTACTGGACAGCTGTTTCGTTCTAGTTTGGGACTCTCCAGCAGTAAGCACCCACCGCCAGGGTTAGAACCCGGGACCCTTTGGTTACAAGGCGAGCTTGTAGACCATTAAGCCACTGGGACCCGATCCAATGGCGAGCATATGAATTCTAACTTCTGCCAATTCACGAAATAACTTCTCATGTCTAGCAACTAATTATGAGAATGAATCAATAAGGTGCGGTGTTCTTGTGAGTTTACGCCATACCTTTCTCTGGAAACTCAAATATTCAAGGATGACAACAGAATGATCGCCATAATAGGTAACAATTGCCAAACTTTAGGTATTGATGGCCAGTTAATTAGTTGAAAAAAAGCAGAAGTTCAGCTGTCTCAGTCATTTCACATGCATGCAAAACGGATTGATAATGAGAGGGTAAGACATTTACTATTTAGTTCATTTTGTTTACTGGTAGCAGAATACATTAAGCACTTATAATATTCCTCATAATGTCATCGCTAGTGTAATTTATTCCAAATGAACTTGAGATTGCATTCTCAAAATTTTCTCACTAAAATTAACTGCTGATATGTTTTAAACTTTCGAAGGACAGTGTTGGTTGTTATCAAAGATGTCTCTTATGAAATTGAAAGAACTCATGGAATCTAAATGAACAGGCTGACTGTAATATACGCATAATTGAATTATATAGTAAAGTTAGTTTCCTAAATAGGAAGTCTATACGCCAGAACTGGCTGGTAAATTGATTTCAGTAAATCACAAGTACGCTTGAACACCAGCTGATGCTGTTGCAAATTTGTTTGGCCCCAATTAGATTTTAGACGGGGTTTCACAAGTACTTGTTACTGTTGAAGTCAGACCTAGATGGAATTGTCAGCACCAAGTGGCATTCCGAAAAAGCCAACCAATGACTTTCAGACTAGAAGAAACGCCGACAGTGGAGGCTACTACCAAAAAAGGAACCAACACGTAACTCTGCTACGTGTCCCAGAAAGTCAACCATGAATTAGTGGATCACAAATTCAAAATGTTCCATCGACAGAAGCTTGAACAACTAGGTATTATGAGCATACTACAAGGTCATCATATCTGCACAGATATAATGATGGAGAAGATTTGTAGCTCAGGTGGATGATTTTGATGTGGTTGTGTTCTCTGAGCTGGATAGTTAATTTGCGAAGCTTTCATCACCCTACTGGGTGACATCTTCAGCGCATACTTCAGTTTGAAGTGAGCTTTTACATTTCTCCACGAGTTTATTAATCATCTCTCCTGTTGACCTTCGGTGTGATTGGTTGGTTTTGTGTGTTTTCACATCTTCTAGGTTACTTGTATTGGAATGACTGTTTCTTTGATTTGAATTTTTACTCTTTATGTGTGAGATGATGAAGATTCCTAGCCAACATCAACAGCAGCAACAACAACAACAGACAACAATCAGCATAAGTGGGAAGAACCTGAAAGAAACAACCTCCTTCACCTACCTGGGAAGCATCGTCTCAACTACAGGCGGAACTGACGAGGATATCAAAGCCAGAATCGGAAAAGGAAGACAAGCTTTCATTACTCTCAAGTCTGTGTGGAGGTCAACAGCACTCAGCATCAAAAATAAGATCCGGATTTTCAACTTCAATGTGAAGTCAGTGCTACTATACGGATCAGAGACTTGGCGAGTCATAAAGAGCATCTCAAACAAACTTCAGACCTTCATTAACAGCTGTCTCCGCCCAATACTCAAGATCAGATGGCCAGAAAATATCAGCAACAGGGATCTCTGGGAGCGAACCAATCAGGAACCGATTGTGAAACAAATAGGCAGAAAGAAATGGAGATGGATTGGCCATATGCTGAGGAAACCATCAAGTGACATCACTAGACAAGCCCTCGAGTGGAACCCGAAAGGGAGGCGGCGAGTTGGTCGTCCAAGGGTGACTTGGAGGAGGTCATGCGAGGAAGAGATGAAAGCATGTGGACAGACCTGGAGCAGGGTGAAAAAGTTGTCAGAAAACCGAAGGCAATGGAGGTGCTCAGCTGAAGCCCTATGTTCCTCTAGGAACTAAAGGATACAATAATAATAATAATATAATATTCCTTCTTATCGGCAGTTATACTTTGTCTGTCTCAATGTGTCTATTGATTGATGATTCACTGGAATGCCAAGCTTCTAAAAATTCTCTAGCATTCTTGTTGTTTCCTCTGTCTAATATTTGAACGTTGTCCCAGTCGAATGATGTCCGTGGTTGTCTGTATGTAGTGATAGGAGGGAGTGGGTGTCATGTCTTTTGACGGCTAGCTTATGATCATGCATACGAAGATGAAGTGGACCTCCACTTTGGCCAATATAGTGTTTTTCGCAGTTGTTGCAATTTATTTTGTAGATGATGTTGGTTTTATCTTCTTTCTTTGTTAAGTCTCTCAGTTGACATAAAGCCAGCTGAGTGAAGTGATTTTGTTGGTTTGTGTGCGACACCAATTCCTAAGAGTTTGAAGAGTCTTGTGGTGACTTCTGAGATTTCCTTTATACATGATAAGGTGACTTTCTTTATGCTTTCCTTGGGGGCTTTTGGTTTGATAGGTTTGCTTGGAGGTAAATGTCTTTTGATGGAATTCCCCGGAAATCCATTCTCTTGCTAGACATCCATGAGATATCTTACATCAATTTTTCTTAAGGTGGGAGTGCTTCAATGAGTCCTGGCCCTGTTGAATAGTGTTTGTATACAATTACTATTGTGTGTTATTGGGTTTCCGCTGTTGTAATTCAGTATTTGGTCTGTGTGAGTTGATTTTCTATAAACTTGAGTTTCTAATTCCCCTGTGGTTGTTCGCTTGACTAAGACGTCCAAAAATGGGATTTTACTCTCGGATTCCTATTCTCTTGTGAATTTGATGTCGTTGAAGACGTTGTTTATTAAGTTGTGAGTTTTATTTAACTCGTTTCTTTTGATTATTACAAATGTGTCATCCACGCAAAGTATCAAAATTTTGGGTTTGATTTTTGGTAGAATTATTTTTTCGAGTCTTTGCAGAAGCATTGATACAAACTACAAGGTCATCATATCTACACAGATATAATGTCCAAGAAGAACAGAAATCTAGAGAAAGATTTTGTCAACGCACATTACAATGCAAACTTTGTTATGAGAATATTGGTCACTGAATTTCTTGACAGTGATTGTAGAAACAATGGAATAAGTACTTTCACTCTCACATTATTCATTTAATTTTATCCTTTTTTATGACATAACTACAGAGACGTCAAAATCAAAAGAGCCAGTGAAGGGTTTGGGCGTCGATGGTGCAGCAATAGGACGCTCGCCAACCATCCATGTGGTTCGGGGTCCAATCCCCGACCGACGCACTCCTAAACCTTGTTTAGCTGATGAGAAGTTCGGTGAAAGGGGAAGATTTGGCGGGAGGGTGACAACTGCACCCCGCAAAAAAAGAATAACAGCTGTTATTGAAACTTCCAAACTAAAGCTTGAAGCCCAGTGTCCCACTCGGAAAACAAAGCATACAAATTAAAATTAAAAAAAACTAGTGAAGGTGAAAATGAAGTGTTATTCGAGAAGACTCTTCATTCGACATGTGTCCATATTAATTGCAAAGTATTTCATTTATATTGCAGTATAAAAGTTAAAAAAACACTTACTCCAGAGCTTGCTGATCCCATAGATTTTTATATTCATGCGACATTACACAAGCCATTGGTGTCGGTGGACGATATGGTTTACCAAAGCACATATTTTCCGGAAATTTAGGCTTCTTCAAGCGTCCTAATACGCGCTTAGTAGCATTCAATCGATAATCTTTCTCATTTGCAAATCTTAGCCAATCAGGTACTGGATGTATGCCTTCTTTCACTGATTCAACATTGATTCGTTGGAAATCTCTAGGCAGACATTCAGAATCAATACTAGTCTTAGTGTCTTCATCACTTGGCCAAGTTAAGCATTCAATAATCCCGTTCGGATAATATTTATACGGTTTACCATAAGTGAAATTCTTCGGTTGTTTAGGTCGTCCACGTGTTAACGGTTCGCCTAGTTTAGGCCGTTGTAATGTCTCACGTGTAAGCATAGATTTTCGGCATGAGCCTATCTGACCAGATGCAACATATTCGCATTTTCGAAGTAAATTTAATGAAGCTGTTCTACTAGGCATTGTTTATTATTTTTGCTTGTTTGTTTCTTTCTTATGTAGTCGCGTTGTACAGATTATCTTTTGTATTGTATAACTGATAGTGATTTTAAGTTGCATAAACTGGTTTATATAATCACGTGATTCAATCAATTATCAATTAAGTTTCTGTCAGAGTTTTTGTATTAATGAATTATTTATTCCCTTAGCATGTAGGCGCATAAAACCACCTGGGTAGAAGGGACTAGAGACGAGTGTAATGATTCATTATGCCACCTTGTTTGTTAACAAAGAATTATAGCACTAACCCATCCTGATGACTAGAAAATCTGAAGTAAGCTTATATCTGAATTAATTACAACGCCACATGAATTTGTAAATACCAAACCTAACAGCAGGTTCGTATTAATAACAAAGGGATATTGTGAAGCACCGAAACAACTAATCTACAATAAATAGATCATCCTGGTACGCCCGGATAAAGATGGAGGAATTGCAATCATGAATTGTGAGGACTACATAGGTAAAGTGCTGACCATCCTATCCAATGAATCAAAATTCACAAAACCGGTCAATGAGAAGAACAAGACGCAGCAAACCGAACAAAAACTATGGGACACCCTCTGATTACAAAAGACTGAATTATTCATTGACGCTGAAATGTTCGAATCGCTGAAGCCTCTCTGGCTAAAATATTCCTCAACTCTGTGGATTACCAGAAGTGTATAAGAAAGGCAGACCTCTTCGACCTATTTTCGATATGATGAATCTAACTTATAATCGTACTGCCCAGGGGTTAGTAGACCCAATGGAACCAATCATAAGGCAATCCTGCCAGTAATTCCGAGACTCCTTCGACATTGTCAACTCCATCGAAAACGTCAATATTTCTAATCAAACCACGTCCCAATAACTGAAACATATGATTCAAAGGGGATAATCATTGGTATGCCCACTGAATATTCAAAAGAACTTCAATTGAGATGCAATCCAAATGTTCAGCTATCTTTCGAGATATACTGACAAAAAGGTGGTATAGTCACGGTCTTCCCAGTGATCCCGTTGCTTGAACATTTTTTCATGTCAAAAATAGAGGACGCATTCCAAGAGAAAATGACTGACGGCTCCGAGTTTTACTAGGGATATGTGGACGATACTTTCATTATCTCCAATAATGAGGAGAATTTGGAGGACATTTGCGACAGCTGACATCCTGCAATCCAGTTCACATTAGAGGAGTCACAAAAAAAATCCCTTTTAAGGAGTTTCATCTAACAAGACGTGAATATTGAAAAGATCCATCTATAGAAAGCCGACATGGAACGGATAACTCACTAACTCTCATAGTTGAGAGCCCCTATATACAAAACGAAACCTAATCCGTTCAGTGAACCACAGAATGCCCCTAAACTACAGAAGGGGAGCTGAACACTAGGGAGAATCCTCCTTGAAAATATCTACCTAAAAGATTTCTTCACAAAATCCGTGATGCCTAAACTAACTAAAACCGCCCACACTATCTGCTCACGAAAGACTTCGCTGCTTGAATCTACAGTTCAGTGGAGACTCATACCTAGAAATGCCTAGGAAACGCCTGTTCCGTATATTGGAGAAAACCTTCTTTGCTGGTGAGCTTCGAATAACTGTCACTACAAAACCAATGATTCTCGTGAAAATGAAGGATAAGCTACCAGTGCTGGCTTCATCAGTGTGCATCAACCAAATAACCTGCTCGTGTGGAGATAGATAGCTAGGTCTCCAGTGCCCAGCTTTGCTATCCAAAAGTGTCGTCGAACACTTACCCACAGTAGCTCTATCCTGGAACACCTGATTGAGTCTGGACGACCAAGCTAACGCACAAAGTAACTCATTAAAAGAGTACAAATCAAACTTGTTCAAACGGCAGAAGCAATGGCAATTCACATGTTAAATGCTGAACTCTCCATACAGAAGAAGTTTGTTCAGTCATTAAGTCTACAATGAATCTGATCTGTCTTAACGCCAAATACGTAATTTTTGCTTTTTGTTATTTAATTATATTGTCTTCTTCCCTGAGACCCTATTGAATTTTTCCCATTTACTACCATTGTTGTTAACTTGACTGTTGTTCAATTTTAGCTGACTTCCATTCAATGCCGTCAGTTAGATTATGTCACTCAACCTATTTTATTCCATGTTAATTTCTTCCCCGACTAAAGCTTTTCATATCACGTAGTTCGCTATCAAAATTTACAATTCTAATGGCATATCTTGGGAATTATTCCTTTTGTTTCTAAGATAATTTGCTATATATATATATATATATATATATGAAGTTGTGCAGCTTGAGAATGATATCTCTGAAAAGCGTTACTCTTCTGTGGACTTCTTTTCCTTTTTATGACTGAGGCACCTCTGTGCAACGTTAGAACCTGATCTTCAATAATATAAACATACAGACACACTTATTCACTTATTTGGTCTCCTGAAAACCCGCTTCAAACTCCACACCACAGCTTTATGCGTTGCACCTACCACGTCAGTTAGGGTCAACAAGTATCACTATAACCTCAACTCTGACATCCTGGTTATGCATGCATTTCATCTTTGTAGAACACGTATACACAGATTAAGCGTCAACATACACTTCACCTTAAGTAAACACAGTCTTCAGCTTACACTATACACACTTTCCAGCATCCAGCCTTCCAACGGCCAGGTAGTTGTCACCATCATGTATTCAGTAGCATTAAGTCTCGGGACAGAGAACACACTGTTCCACTGAATACCACACGATAGTTGCTTGTCACCGATCCCACTTAAATGTTCTGTGAGAAGTACGAAAGATTTTGAAGTATACCGACATCACTTTGCAGCATATACCCATGCACCCAATCACCTCAGTTTGGAAGACATGGAGCATCACTTCTATCGAAGACTATCTGGTCTTCTACAACAAACTGAGCTCTTACACATGTTTTAGTCTTCGTTGGCAATTTCAATGCATAATCAAGATCAAGGTGCTTATGACAACGAGGTAGGCACTCTCACATTGGGTATTCTAGCAATACCACGCCATCGAATCGATTGCTGTCATTATAATCAGATAACTAACTGTTTATAGATAACATAATCAATGTAATGAATCACACAGGGTAATACATTTGGGTGGAGAAAAATGATGGTCAACATGACTATCAATTACTAGTACTAAATCATTGCTCAAAATGCCCCTTAATACTTGCAGTAATTTGAGAGGCTGCAATCAAACAGGCTAGCTGAATATCTTGATAGGACAGCTGAGGAGATGTTTAAATTCTGGACGTCTATAAAGCGTCGGTGGCACAGTGGTAGAATACCCGCACCACATTGCCGGGTTCGATCCCCGGCCACCGACGCCCTCCTTTATCCTCGATAAGAGGGAATATTAGGTATGAGGCTTGCAACCCCAATCCCGTAAAAATAATCACCACTGCTACCGAAACTCCAAGCCTCTAGCTTGAAGTCTCCCTATGTTCCACTGTGAATATAAAGGAATTAAAAAATTAATAAAGCCATAATCATCTCTGTTGATTCTTAAAACCCATTCTCTGAATAACTGTTAATTTTTCTTGTCTGATCTGATAACTGTTAGAACCTGAACTGATTTATTGATAAGGGTTGCTTTAGTTTATACAATCTTTATCTCATGACATTGGGATCCTATAGAAAACAAGATGGCTGAAGTAAAGAAACCAATTTTGTTTTCGACAGAAACATCAACAAGGTTGTAAATTCGTGAAAACATAAGAAATGGTGACGAAATCCCAGAAGTCTCTCAAGTCACTGATTAAAATACTATCGTAATAAAATAGGGCTGCGTAATGCAAATAAAGGCTAGAATATAAGGAAATAATATATTGATTTTATCTTGGAAATAAACCAGTAATGAAGGCCGTAACAAAGACTTAGGATTGCTTCTTTGATCACACAGTGGACATCAATTTCCTCATGTTAATGCTTCACCTACTACTTATCGAGTTCATCACAGTCTTCTGAGAAGCAATACTGAAGTTTTTATGGGATTTTCGGTTATCTAATTGAAGACACACTTCCACTGGACGTCTATAACCACACTAAGCAGTGTTAATCAGCACTTATTACTAAGCTCACACTTAGTACATTCAACTTTAGTCTTTGTCATGGTCATCGCTAACAGGCTACTACCTGGATAAAATCAATATTTTCCTAATGATATTTATCCTTATAATCTCCTTTTTTCTCTTCTCAGTTTTAGCCCTTATCTGTACTGTGTAACCTGTTCCTGTCACTCACTCTATTTTGGTTGTCGACTCGATATAGTTCTTGAATTTCGTCACTCACTATATATATTTATTATATATATCCACGAATTTACAGTCTCTATGATGACTTTGGTGACGAGAAGTTATTTTCTCCACTGCAACTGTCTTGTTGTTTTTCTCATAACTTTTGCATGCCTACTGATCTAGTAGTTTTTGGCTTGCCACCCCCACCCCTCCAAATTTATTTTATCCTGCTCTAGTGAAATATTACTCTGGGGATATTTTTCTACTCAAAAATGTACATCTGTTTGATTTGTCAATGTTATCAAATTCAGAAAAGCCAAGTTTTCAGAAGGAAATGGATTTATTTGATCCTGTGGCTGCGTTTTAACTATAAACATACAGAAAAGCTAAACAGCTAATACAGAAAATTATGTTTTATTTATGTATAATGAATAAACATTATTCGTTGTGCAATTTGATGTGTGTGTGTGTGTGTGCACCCTAAATAAGTCTTTCATATATTCTCCCACAAATACCATGCTTTCTAGTGTCACAAGTGTTAATGAAACCTGCTTCCCTGGTTTCAACACAAACATCGTTCTAATATGTCACCAGTCACAGCACCCTTCTCATAGCCTAGGTATAGCTGGTGTACCAAGCCTTATTCTTTAAAAAAATGTGCAGATATCCTGTGTCACCCTCTCATGACATATTTAACGAATCTTTTCCCAGAAATGTCATGCCAGCCGTTTGGAAAGACGTTAAAATTGTATCTATACCTAAGTCAGCTACTGGAGCTATGACCTCTCCTTTTCTA